CAAACTAAATCGTCTAAGATCACACATAAATGTATTAATTACAACCTAAGACAGAATCAAATTTTTTCTAAACAAATATGTTGCATCCTAAATTTCGCCTCTAATTTTTTTAGTCGCACTTTAATATCATATTTTGTTATTTGGTCAGAATCATTAATAGATATCTTCATTCATCACATTTTGCATTATTAGTCATATTTAAGTTGACCAAAAGTCAGTTTAAATCAACATTTGCATCATTTTTTAGTTAAAAAATACATGATATTTCACTTCATGCATTTTTATCTCTTTACTCGTTTCTTCCATTGCTCTAAGTTGTTTATATGTCGACAATATTAATATTTTGGTTTTACTGACAGATTGTTAAAAGCGATTCGACATTTTGCGGAAAAATTAGTGAGAAAATATTTCAACTTTTCACCTTTTACTGATCATTTTAGGAATCTGCATTTCACGTAGATCATGACGGTATGCTCGCTTCATTTTTTCGGTACAGTTTGAAGTCTCTTTTTTTAACTGTAATCGTTTGTTTAGCCTAGTATTTTTATTCTCATTTTATTTCAATTTTGATCATTTGAATATTTTTTATTAATCTTTGAGACAAGTAGTTTATTTTAATGTGTTCATTTCATTTTTTCGGATAGATTTTTATCCATTATTTAATCATTTTTAGTCATTTTCGAGTCTCTATTTTTTATTCAGAAAAATTCAAAAAACTATATTTTAAATTGAGTTAATTTTTATACTTTCATATTTTTGCGTTGATTTTATAATTGAGGGTTATTTTGGTCACTTAGAAAATTAGTTTAATCTTTAGTTTTGTGTATAAAAGAGAGGCATGAGATTTGTATTAGGAACTTTTGAAAAAAGCAAAATCAACAACACTGAGAATTGAATTGAACCCCTTCTCTCAATCCAATTTCCAATTTCCTTATTGTAGCGGTAAAATCAATGAAGTTACCACCGAGTATTTGTTTATCCCATATGAAAGGGAAAGGGAAATCATCGAATAAAATCTAAAGGGGAAATCAAGGTCTTGCGACTGAGAGATTGGGTAAGGGAGTCGATTACGCGAGGAGAAGGTATTAGCACCCCACATGTCCATAATACTCTACAGGATCCACTCTCATTGTTCTAATCAAAAGGTGTGTTCAATCTAATGCTTAAGGATTATAAACTAAGAGGGAATGCATGCAAAGAAAGGAGAAATAATGTAGGGAAAATAAATTTGTACTCCCTTGGGGCCAACCCCAATGCCTACGTATCCTTTTTGAAGAATCAGAGCTATCGTAGTTCAGCTCATATGTTTTTGTTTGTTTTGTATTTTTTAAATGAACAATGTCGCATTCGATCATTCCACCGTTGCTTGACCTTTGGAGACTTACGACCTGTAGTGGAAAGGAGATAACATGCTCTTAGAAGAGAAAAGCCGAATGGCGAAAAGAAATGGATTGATTGGTATTTTTTTACCATGAAAAGAATTTTTGTATACTTAGAATTTTTTATACATTTGCCAAGAAAAAAGAAGTTTTAGTTTTAAGTGCAATTATGCAAAAGGGAAGAAAACATCTAAGGGAGACTAACCTATCTCTAACCTAATGTTATCATACAATGGGGGATCCTATCTAAGCTCGCATGCCAAAGAAAATCTAACAAAACTATCGTATAGGGAACATGCACTGATAGTGAAGTCATGATCTCAATTTCTAAATTGAGTGACTCATCGATCAACAAGAAAGTAAACAAATACAAGCACAACACATATAGCAAATGAAGTGCGGGATGCCTACTACAGGTCTTTAAACAACGACTTCGAGAACACACTCTTTATTTCCTAATTCTCATGATATCTAGAAAGAAATAAATGAGAAAATATAACTTGAAGCAGTGTAATACCAAATGAACAATGACGTCCGCAAAAAGTGCAACCGAAGTAAAGAAATCCGAGATACTTCACGCGAGCTGGCATCAACAAACAAACAGTCAGAGTTCAAATATTTGGAATAAGTGTCGCAACTTCGTCGATGTGAAAATAAATCACAACCGAATCCAAAACACATCCCCATATCAAAAAGTGAACCTGCATAAGATTCAACTCAACAAACAAAGGTGAATTATAAAATCTCCAGTAATCGGATAATCATGGATTAATTCCCAAAATCAAATAAAAATATAACAAATTTTTTATTGATTTTTATCATTTTTATCATCCAAAATAAATATATAAAAAATCATGAAAAGAAACATGCTATGGGAATAAAATTCAATTCTAAAGCTGATGGGGTATGAAATTTGTATAGGAACTATGTTTAGAAATTGCGCTAAAGCCCAGCCCCAAGATGATCCAAGAAGCGTAGATTTTTTTAGTCTGTTGACAATCAGTCTGCCCAAAAAAAAAAGAATGGGCTTAGGAAGAGCAAGATCCGGCCCATCTTAATACCATAATTTTGTTATTCCACACTATTTTCTATTTTATAATTAAAAAAATAAAAATAAAAAGCTAAAAGAAGAAAACATGAAACTGGTAAAACAACGTAGTAATGGCCTAGGGTTTCCAATTGGCGCTGATTCATGTTATTCACAAAACACAGCCCACTTCTTCTCATCACCTTCGATGCGACTCTTTCTTCTTCGTATCTTCGGTCCAAATCTACGGTGGTTTAAACCTTTGTCTCACCATGCGCTCATCCCTGTTCTCTCTTCTCAATAAATCTCCACCATGGACATTCAACTACAATTTCAATATCTCAAGCGATCTTAGAGTGACCCGAATCGAAACCTCTCAATGTTCTCTTTGTTGATCTTACACCAATTTTCAATAGTCTTATTCGGTAATCAACGAAATCTGACTCAAATTAGCATCATAGAAATTGCTAACCAACGGATTAAGGGATGCACAGTGACAGTCATGGCGTCGTAGGGGACGTGTTCAACGGGGTTTAAGCTTCATACCAGCATTAAGAAGAAGCGAATACAACGAAGATACAAAAGAGAACTGGATTTACCTACCAAAGAAGTATGGCGCTTCTTCAGATCAGTGAAGATGATCAGAAATCACGAAGTTCTTACGTATTCAGGTACGGAATCCCATTAATTCCTTTGCGCGACTCCTTCTTCTTCCTTACGATCTTCTTCTTATAACATTCTTCTTTCGTGTATGCTGTGATTGTTGATGTACTGAGGTATTGATGTGAGGTTAATATTGAAGCAGGGTTCGAAGAAATGAAGGGTGGGGATGGTGAAGATGGCGGAAAAGAGTTTGAGAAAATGGATGTTGAAGGATTTAGATATAGAGAATGAAGGTCATGATAAGGTTCAGAGCTTCAAGAATCTCGATACTGAGTGAAGATGCAGTTGAAGAAGATGATATAAGTTGCCACGAAGATTGATGAAGACGTGATGTTAGAGATATTTTTGTCATGAGGAGTAGAAAGTGGATATTGATTGATGAATGAAGGTTATACAAACTAGTTGGTAACTAAAGCCTCAAGGTTGATGCAGGGTGATGCAAAGAAGATGATGAAGGCCGTGAATCAGGTTGAAGAATGATTGAAGAGGATGCCAAGAATTTCATTGAGAGAGAGAGAAGAAAAATCCATCCTCTCAGATAATCCTCTCGTGTGATATCTCTATCTCCTCTTTTGTTATCAATCGTGAACCACCCCCCCCCCCCCCCCTTTTCTGTTATACTTTCTCTTATAATATGTTGGGAAGTTATCGTTTTTTCCTTTGAAATTTTGTTTCAATTTTCTGTTTATGGATATCTTTTAGAAGTTTGTTAAAGTTGGTTATAGGTTGGTTTAAAGTTCTGTTATGCTTTGAGTTAGTTTCTGTTGAGAAGTTAGTTAGTAAGCCTTTTGGACAGTTAGTTACGGTTAGTTATATGAGCTGGCTTTCTGTTATAAAACAGTTTTTTATTCTCACGATTCCCTATTTTCCTTTTGTATTTCTGCAACTTGTTTCCATTAGTTTGGATTGGTGATGTTGATGTTTCAGATACTGAACCACCAGAGAATCTAGTGTCACACGCTCAAGGTTGTTGGGCTGGACGTCATTTACTACTTGGGAGGATGGTGTTGTCTAGGCTAGACTAGAGATGCAGTACTGATTCTTATCCACATTGTTAGCTGTACAATGGCCATGATGACTCCTCATGTTACTGGTTGGTGTGAAAAGCCCAACAACATCAGTATACAAGCTGCTTTTATGAACTGCATTTGAGGAAATAGGAGAGCGAAGACCTGGATCGCCAACATTTAGTCACTTTCCAGATGATGATAACAACGATATATCCTTTAAATCCGATAAATTTCGTTTGAACGGCAAGGTGACTGGAGTCTTAAGCTGAGGTCCAGTTTCATTGTTAAGTTTCACTGAAGATTCAGATGGGTTCTCTATTATAAAAGTTTCTGAAGAGTCTTTCCCAGTACGTAACAACATTCTAGCTGATGACTGCTGAGAGTCAATGACTTGGTGTCTTGTATGGGAACCAAAAGACGATGATAAAGTTAGTGACTTTTCTTTGTGGAGAAGGTATCACTTTTCAAACAAGTATCTTCATTCTTTGAATTATAATTTAATTTGTTGGTGAGAAATCCACTAGGAGTACAACCAGAAGGCCACTGAACCAGTGTTGAAGAAGCTTCTTGTAATATGGGTTCTTGCTTCTTGATTTGTAGTAAATTTCGGTCTCTTTTTTGTCTTTTCATCTGCTGACCTAATTGTGCCACATTTTGGTGCAAATATGAGATCGAGTATGTGGCAAACAGTTAAGAAATTTATATCTATTCGCATTAAAGCCTCTTTAGTTGCACTTTGTACATCACTGTTAGCACTACGACACAAAAAAAAAGTGAACGAAATAAATCCTCCTTCACTTTATTCTACAACCCCGTGTAGAATTGACTATTAAGTTTGTTCAAGATAGAGATACAAGGCTCTACATAGGCAGGGTCATCTGAAGTCATGTCATCCAACTGAAATGTTTTCAGAAAAGGATCTTAAAGATCAATTCCACCGGAGGGAGATGACATAACACAGCTCTCTAACAAAAGGCACATTATTTGAGTTCTGGTGTTTGAAAATTTCTGGCTAGATTTGCTACGGTCATCATAGTATTGCTTCATAGAACGAGACAACACTGGTGCAATATTATGATGTATAATAGCATACCCAACTCCCTTGAGCAAGGAGAGATTCATTAGCTTCCCGTAGTTGGAGAATTTCAGAGCAGAACCCAAAATGAACTCGAGTATTCTTTCTTTTGTGGGCTGGTCAAACCTGTTTTCCATGTTTTGAGGTACTAAGATATTATGACAGGATGAACCCAGTGTGGATGCGAACAATGATGGAAGAAACTTCTTATCGGACAATATAGGTTTTTTTTGCTGAACCAACAACAATATAAGCTCACCCAGAAAATGGAACCATGTAGTGTTGTTCCCGTTATTCTTGCCAGAACGTTCAATGCGACACCACAAGGCACGCAACTCATCGATACATTTCATGGAAGCAACCCTTATAGTCTGATCATCACCAGCCAATGGAACAAGAATAGAAGGAAATTTGGCCAAAATTTTAGCTTGCCATTTATCTTGTGACAAACTACATAGAGATGCATAGCACTGAAGACTTTCAACCTGAACTGCAGTAGGAACACCTTCATCTGTTAAAAACTTAGATAATATGCGGGTAGGTGATACACTGCACTGTTCAGCTAAGAAATGGAGGTGTTTATGGAATGCATGTTTGAACTTTGAGGAAGCAAAAAATACAAACAGATCCTTTATCTTGCTATAATCCAGCTGATTGCCTGAAGATTCTGCTGACATTAGTGCTGATCTCAGCCTTCAAAATATGCAAACCATAAACTTTGCATTTAAAGGTCTGAGGTTGGCATACAAAAGATGAATAAAGAAAGAACTACAGTCCCATTCTAACATTTCAGAATTGAACTCATCCAAAAGAACATCACCACCATTCACTAAAGATTCCAACCCAGCCTTCAGAATAGGAAACACGCATTTAAATAGTGCATAAAAGCCATCACCTTCTGGTTTTATCAGCAGAAGAGACTGTAATAGAACAAAAAAAGAAGAGTTTCTTTTATAATTCTGAATCATTGCAGCTTTCAACAAACCAGGAAATATTATCCTCAGGGTCGACGATGAAATTGCTAGCCAAGTTATTGATAACCTTCAATTTAATAGAAGAATAACTTTCAAGTACCAGAGTTTTTCTTCAGAGCAAGACATAGCAACATTCTGAGAGAGAAACCCTAATGCCGAAACCCTAATGCTAAAGCTCTTCGATCTTATAACCACGAGACTAATGTTATGTGTGAAATGTACAAAGTATGATGAGGGATCTTAGGTGCAAAAATTGGGGTACAACAGCTGCCCTTATTTAAGTGTCTTCTATCCGGAGATACGAAGATTAAAATCTTTATTTTGACGTGATTGAAGATACTTAAATATAAAATAAGCCCTATTTTTGGCCCTAAGATGCCATGCGATGCTTATGATTATGGATGTAATATATGAACTTCATGAAGATAGCCCAGACACGTACTGGAGAAGCAAAAAATAGAATCTAAAAGTTTCCAAAAGAATTCAACCAGGATAAAAAACCTCTGGAGAACAACAAGACTTCAGGAATAGAAATCTGAACCTTTTGGAGACAAATCGGCCCTGCTGCGGAAAAGAAAACTCAACTTCACTAGGGGGTAAGATTCTGAGAGGAGACAAAATAACATAAACTTCAAGACTGAGGGGAAAGTAATGGATGACAATAATTAACCGATAGCTGTGAACTATCCACTCACAAAGGAGATAGAAAAAAGAGAGAAACATCCACACAGGGGATCGACAGTCGCTAACCAGAAAAGACCAATCTTACCTAAGAGTGGCAATGAACTGCCCACTCAAGAATGAAGGTAGAAAAAACACATAGGACAATACTAACTTTTATTGAAGGTAAAGAAACAGAAGATACACCGAAGTTTGCTGAAGGTGGAGAAAAGAGAATGCACCAGCTTTTACTGAAGGTGACATCTCAAAGAGTAATAACGAACTTCCCATAATCCTGACGTTCTTCCTAGAACGAGTAAAAATACAAGCTATCTCCAATAAAGAGACTACCACTTGTAAATATTTCACAACAAACTTCTCTTGTGAAACATCCTCGAAGAGATACCATTTGATGGAGAATCAGATAAAATTCCCCTCGATCCTGACTATACGCCACGAACTGGTCTCAGTTTCTTCTTTAACCAAGATATCTCACCTGGAAAGGGTAAAAATACAAGCTATCTCAAATAAAGAGACTACCACTTGTAAAGATTTCACAACAAACTTCTCTTGCGTAACTTCCTCGAAGAGATACCATTTGATGGAGAATCAGATAAACTTCCCCTCGATCCTGACTATACGCCATGAACTGATCTCAGTTTCTTCTTTAACCAAGATATCTCACTTGGAAAGGGTAAAAATACAAGCTACCTCAAATAAAGAGACTGCCACTTGTAAGATTTCAATTTTTCTGTAGCGGTAAAATCAATGAAGTCGCCAATGAGTATTTATTTATCCTATATGAAAGGGAAAGGAAAATCATCGAAGAAAACCTAAAGGGGAAATCAATGTCTTGCAACCGAGAGATTGGGTAAGGGAGTCGATTACGTGAGGGGAAGGTATTAGCACCCCACACGTCCATAGTACTCTACGGGGTCCACTCTCGTTATTCTAATCAAAGGGTGTGTTCAATCTAATGCTTAAGGGTTATAAACTAAGAGGGAATGCATGAAAAGAAAAGAGAAAGAATGTAGGGAAAATAAAGTTGTACTCGCTTGGGCCCTACCCCAATTTTGAGGAATCAGAGCTACCGTAGTTCGGCTCATATGTTTTTGTTTGTTTTGTATTTTTTTAAATGAACAATGTTACATTCAATCATTCCACCGCTGCTCGATCTTTGGAGACTTACGACCTATAGTTGAAAGGAGCTAACATGCTCTTAGAAGAGAAAAGCCGAATGGCGAAAAGAAATGGATTGGTTGGTATTTTTTTACCATGAAAAGAACTTTTGTATACTTAGCATTTTTTATACATTGGCCAAGAAAAAAGAAGTTTTAGTTTTAAGTGCAATTATGCAAAAGGGAAGAAAACATCTAAGGAAGACTAACCTATCTCTAACCTAATGTTATCATGCAATGGGGGATCCTATCTAAGCTCACATGCCAAAGCAAGTCTAACAAAACTATCCTTAAGGGAACATGCACTGAGAGCGAAGTCGTGATCTCAATTTCTAAATTGAGTGACTCATCGATCAACAAGAAATAAAGGAAAGCGATAAAGTCCTATAGGGAGCATGCACTGAGAGAGAAGTCGTGATCTCAATTTCTAAATTTAGTGACTCATTGATCAACAAGAAAGTAAACAAACACAAGCACAACACATATAGCAAATGAAGTGCGGAATGCCTGTTACAGGTCTTTAAACAGCGACTTCGAGCGCACGCTCTTTATTTCCTACTTCGCATGATATCTAAAAATAAATAAATGAGAAAATATAACTTGGAAGAAGTGTAATACCAAACGAACAATGACGTCCGCAAAAAGTGCAACCGAAGTAAAGAAATCAGAGATACTTCACGCGAGCTGGAATCAATAAACAAACAGTCAGAGTTCGAATATTTGGACTAAGTGTCGCAACTTCATCGATGTGAAAATAAATCACAACCGGAATCCAAAACACATCCGCATATCAAAAAGTGAACCTGCATAAGACTCAGCTCAACAAACAAAGGTGAATTACAAAATCTCCAATAATCAGATAATCATGGATTAATTCCCAAAATCAAATAAAAATATAACAAATTTTTTATTGATTTTTATCATTTTTATCATCCAAAATCAATATAAAAAAATCATGAAAAGAAACATGCTATGGGAATAAAATTAAAATCTAAAGTTGATGGGGTATGAAATTTTTATAGGAACTATGTTTAGAAATTGCGCTAAAGCCCATCCCCAAGATGATCCAAGAAGCGTGGTTTTTTTTAGTCTGTTGACAATAAGGCTTCCCAAAAAAAAAGAATGGGCTTAGGAAGAGCAAGATCCGGTCCATCTTAATACCATAATGTTGTTATTCCACACTATTTTCTATTATATAATTAAAAAAAAAAAAAACTAAAAGAGAAAAACATGAAACTGGTAAAACGATGTAGTAATGGCCTAGGGTTTCCAATTGGCGTCGATTCATGTTATTCACAAAACACGGCCCGCTTCTTCTCATCACCTCCGCCGCGACTCTTTCTTCGTCTCTCTGATCCAAATCTGCAGTGGTTTAAACCTTTGTCTCACCATGCGCTCATCCCTGTTCTCTCTTCTCAATAAATCCCCACCATGGGAATTCAATTCCAATTTCAATATCTCAAGCGATCTTAGAGTGACCCGAATCGAAACCTCTCAATGTTCTCTTTGTGGATCTTACACCTATTTTCAATAGTCTTATTCGGTAATCAACGAAATCTGTCTCGAATTAGCATCATAGAAATTGCTAACCAACAGATTGAAGGATGCACGGTGATAGTCATGGCGTTGTAGGGGACATGTTCAGCAAGGTTTAAGCTTCATACCAATATTAAGAAGAAGTGAATAGAATGAATATACAAAAGAGAACAGTATTTACCTACCAGAGAAGTCTGGCGTTTCTTCAAATCGTTGAAGATGATCAGAAATCACGAAGTTCTTACGTATTCAGGTATGGAATCCCTTAATTCCTTTGCGCGACTCCTTTTTCTTCCTCACGATATTCTTCTTATAACATTCTTCTTTCGTGTATGCTGCGATTGTTGATGTACTGAGGTATTGATGTGAGGTTGATATTGAAGCAGGGTTCTGAGAAATGAAGGGTGGGGATGGTGAAGATGGCGGAAAAGAGTTTGAGAAAATGGAGGTTGAAGGATTTAGATAAAGAGAATGAAGGTCATGATAAGGTTCAGAGCTTCAAGAATCTCGATACTGAGTGAAGACGCGGTTGAAGAAGATGATAAAAGTTGCCACGAAGATTGATGAAGACGTGATGTTAGAGATCTTTTTGTCATGAAGAGTAGAAAGTGGATGTTGATTGATGAATGAAGGTTATGAAAACTTGTTGGTAACAAAAGCCTCAAGGTTGATGCAGGGTGATGCAAAGAAGATGATGAAGATCGTGAATCAGGTTGAAGAATGATTGAAGAGGATGCCAAGAATTTCATAGAGAGAGAGAGAGCAGAAAAAGCCATCCTCTCAGATAATCCTCTCGTGAGTTTTCTCTATCTCCTCTTTTGTTATCAATCGTGAACCCCCCCTTTTCTGTTATACTTTCTCTTATAATATGTTGGGAGGTTTGGGAGTTATCGTTTTTTCCTTCTAAATTTTGTTTCAGTTTTCTGTTTATGGATATCTGTTAGAAGTTTGTTAGAGTTGGTTATAGGTTGGTTTAAAGTGTTGTAATGCTGTGAGTTAGTTTCTGTTGAGAAGTTAGTTAGTAAGCCTTTTGGACAGTTAGTTACAGTTAGTTATATGATTTTGTCTTTTTGTTATAAAATAGTTTTTTATTCTCACGATTCCCTATTTTCCTTTTGTATTTCTTCAGCTTGTTTCCATTAGTTTGGATTGGTGATGTTGATGTTTCAGATACTGAACCACCAGAGAATCTAGTGTCACACGCTCAAGGTTGTTGGGCTGGACGTCATTTAATACTTAGGAGGATGTTGTTGTCTGGGCTAGACTAGAAATGCAATACTGATTATCATCCATATTGTTATTTGTACAATGCCCATGATGACTCCTCATGTTACTGGTTGGTGTGAAAAGCCAAACAACATCAATATACAAGCTGCTTTTACGAACTTCATTTGAGGAAATAGGAGAGCGAAGACCCGGATCCCCAACATTTAGTCGCTTTCCAGATGATGATAACATCGGTATATCCTTTAAATCTGATAACTTCCGTTTGGACGACAAGGTGACTGAAGTCTTAAGCTGAGGTCCAATTTCAGTGTTAGGTTTCACTGAAGATTCAGATGGTTTCTTTATTATACAAGTTTCTGAAGAGTCTTTCCCAGTATGTAACAACGTTCTGGA